TACTAACAGATGATTAATTACTTCATAGTAATTCACTCTAAGAAAGAGACAGCTTTCAAGTTCTGGTGGATTAGCTGTGCCAGAATCTCTGTGAGGACAAAATAAGGAAAAAAGAACAAAGCAAAGGAGGAGGGGAACCATTCAGAAAGGGAGGAAGAAATGCAGGAAAAAGGAGTTTGGAGAGAGTGTGCCTTTACCTCAGAGGGTAGACGGAGGTGTACTGTCATCAAGGCAGCTTTTGATAACTAGAAAGCACATCTACACGTCAGGGATTTAGAGGCAAGGCTTATCAGACAAGACGTTTGGAGAGGCAAAGTCGTCAGAAACTAAAAGAAGACTGAATCCACTCTACAAGTTTGCCAGGTCATACCACATCAGATGGGAATACTTCTAATAAAAGTGCCTCCCATTATCAGTACTGTTAAGGAAGTGCACAGGAATTGGATAACAAGGAGGATCTGGCCGGCGCAGCCCTCTGTTCAGCATGCAGGCCAAGTAGTTGCGGCACCTCTCCAGCAGTGGGAGCGTGGGATATTTAATTGCAGGGTTGGCACTTTTCAATAAATAAGTGGGTTTTGGGTTTCAGTTTGAGCATTCGATCTGTGAAAGGTTCAGTGTCATTCCTCTAGATGATACATTACTTCACTGAATCCTCTCAACGACCACTGCACTGATGTCTCTTTCCAACAGAAAGGTAAACTGAGGCTTAGACTTAAGTCAAAAATCTTCTCCAAGGTGATACAATTAGTGTGGGAATTTGGAATTGAATTTGTGGTGCTGAAGTCCATGCAAGTAATCAGTGACAGATAACAGGAATTTGTGCATCAGCTTTTACAGTCAAATTTATAGGAATCATGTCATAGCTTTTCTTTTCTTTCTTTCTTTCTTTTTTTTTTTTTTTTTTTTTTGCTCCTGTCCATATGGAGTAAGATTGGGGTCAAATCACTAAAACCTACTAATGGATGAAATGCTCACAGTGCAGGCAGCTCTAGTCATTTTAGCAATTTAAAGGAGCAGTGGTTTTGGTGTCATAAAAGCCATAAGATGCCTTCCTCCAAAATAAAAGGCAACTAAACTGCTTTTTCAATCATTTCATTGCGTGCACATGTGGCAAACTGTCTGCTGCTGGCGGTCGGCTTTCTAACGCGAGTGCTCCTTCAGATGCTTCTTTACTTCACGATCTTCATCTGTGTATGTGGTGTTTGAAATCATAGCACAGGAGCTCTTGAATCTTTACAGACTTTGAAACAAGGTCACAGCTTAATGTGGGTGCAACTAAATGGACCCCCTTGCTCAGGGGATGTGACATAGCTCAGCGATGTCCCTGTGGCTGGTTTTGTACCTCTTGATACTTTATATGCTCTGCAACCAGTGGGGCGATAGTAAGTGGAGCCTTGTCACCTGGCTGCTCCCGCCACTGTCAGGCTAGTGTGATGGCAGCCCAGACGACAGGGAAGCATGCCCACGAGGGAGCCGGAGAGCCACGCAAGTGGAGGCTGGGACACGTTGCCACCTGCAAAAAGCCTCCGCAGAAGGCAGCCCATTTCCATCTTTCATCTTTCTGTCTTCATGTATTCTTCTTGCTGCTGGAATTTTCTTTCTTTTCATCTAATGGACAGGATTGCAGGAGGTAGCTGCAAGGCCTAAAAGGAGCTTGGAAACTGACATCAGCTATGAATTTTATTATTTTTTAATACTTTTGTACCTAGGATGAAAAAAAGCCCTTTGGATTTTCACACTCTGGTGGGGGTTTTCAGATCCGCCTTGATTCAGAGCTTGCCTTCCAGTTTGTGGGTGAGCGAGATGGATCTGCCCTCTCTGATCCAGCTGAAGACATGTGGAGCTGAGCGAGACACATCATATTTCACAATGATTCATGGAAACCTCTCATTCTTCTTTTAATTAGGAGAGAATTCATTGGCATCAATGCATGGCTTGGCTTTTGATGATGAGCATCCCATCTGGAAGATTGCCAGTTACAGACTGCCTCCACCGCCCCTGTGTCTGGGCAAACTTAGCCTCGAAATCAGGCTTTCTCACATGTGGTGGATGACTGCTTAAACGTGTTCTGATGGAAGGGTGTGTGTGTGTGGGGGGTCATTTTTTCATTTTATGACTACATTAATAAACACATGTGTGGTATGACTGTGCTGTCACTTCCAGTGCTTACTGAGAGTCATCAAGAGCCGTGAGACACTTGAGTTTTATTCTCTTTTTAAGTGAGTAACTGGGCCAGTCAAGGCTCCGTGAATAATGGTAGAAAGCCCCAAATCAGCTTCTCACTAGCCCACATGAGGGCCAGATGACACTAAGGAAGCACTGGGATGAGTTACAGGAGAGGGACCCCAGAGGGGCCACTGGGGTCCCTCTCCTGTAGTGGGCATTTCACCAGTGGAATTTTAGTGCAGCTCCCACACACTCATTTTGCAGAAGAGCTGGAGTAGACATGACTGATCAAATCTAATTCAAACAAGAAAGTCTAGAGGAGAGCAAGCTGTGGGGTGAGGGTATGGAGAGTTTGTTAGTTTTCTGCATGCCAGGCAACGTACTGAGAAGGTTCCATGGACTGGCCCACTTACCGTCACAAGAATTCTGTGGATCAAGAATGGCTATGCCCATTTTAGGGATGAGGGAAAGAAAGATGGGTGTGATTTCCCAGGGCATACCATGAGGAAGGGGTGCAGCAGGCATTCGTAAGAGGTCTGATTTCCATGCACACACGTGTGCCATTAAATCAGATTGCTCATTCATCAGTACTGCTTGCTCTCACGTAACTTCTTTTTTCAAATAAAGTTTGAAGAAAAAACTTCATGAGGTTACTATCAAAAATCATGTTATGTTTTTGTACTGTATTTCACTTTTATTGCCTTGTATGTCCAACTTCCCTTTGTGTGTGTGTGTGAGTGTGCATGTGAGTGTGTGTGTGTGTGTGTGTGTGTGTGTGTGTGTGTGTTTGCTCATATAATAGCTCAGCTGGTTGGCATTCACACTTTCTTTCTAAAATTTAGGCAGTATATTATTACCTGGTGACAAAGTCATTTTATACCATGGCATTTCTGAATATTCTTTAATTAATCCATAAATTTGGAGGACAACTTAGAAAAGCAGAGAGCTTTATTTAAATTACTTTCATAACTGATCTTTTAATAATACTTTCATGCAGGAATTTGGAGAGCAACAGATACACTATTAGAGAGAATGGGTGCATGTTGTTTCTTGCTTTAATATAATTTGTCCTAAATTGAGCATTAATCTGAGGTGAAATAAAAGAGACTATGAATTTGCCACACGTACTCTGAATAGTTGGATTTTACACTTTCTTTGGGGAGTTTTCAGATACAATTTACGAAATAACTTTTGTGGTATACACAGAGGACCACCTAAAATAGTCAATCTCAGCCCCAATGATAGGTATAAAATTGACATTGTGCTTTGAAAGAAGACAGTAAAAGTCACCTTCCAAATACATTTTTAAAGCAAAATGTCATCTTGGCTGTTATCGCCTTACCTTAAAATGGTCTATCATACAGATTGCCAAAAGACTCAGGGAATCCAAGACCTGTCTAGCGTTAGGAGGAGAAGCACTGGAGTGGTAACAGTCCTGGATATGGTGTTAAAACTAGGGACGACCAGGATTGAGGTGCTCCTGAGGTTGTCAGTGTTGTATTGCAGATAAGATAACTAACCAACCAAACAAGTGAGAAAAGATGCTGAAGACGCATTTGCTTACTTCACAAGTTTACATAATTTAAAGGTTAACACCCTGGTATGATGATTTATTTTATAAAATATAGCCAATTGTCTTTTATAAATTGAAAAGTTTAGAATAACAGAATTATCATGATGAGCATTTTTTTTTCTTTTTCTTTCTTTTTTTTTTTTTTTTTTTTTTTTTTTTTTTTTTTTTTGGAACCAGGGATTGAACTCAGGCCCTTGCACTTGCCAGGCAAGTGCTTATTCTAGTGAGCCATCTTCTCAGCCTGTGATGAGCACTTTCAAAGCTTTTATCTCCCTATTTTCCCTTGGCTTGAAAACTGGGTAATGAGGATGATACACATTTCCTTAGATTCCGTGGATCATTCAAGAATATATGTCTTTGTTAAATAATAAAAAATGCATTTCAAGCCTTTTAAAAAATATAGTACACCTGTATTGGTAATAGGGGTATCCCTAGATTTACCAGAGACTCATTGATGAGAATTATTAAACACTTCAAGAAGGTCATTCACATTGAAAGTTGTCCCAGACTACAAAGTCTTCGCACTCTGTGATCCTATTTTGCCAAAGGCAAATCCATTTCTGAATGTGGATGGTAGATGTTCTGACCTGTGATACAAATTAGTGTCTTTAGTAAAGAGTCTTATTTGTAGCTACAATGTTTTTTGAAGACTAACTCTAGATATAGATTTAAAATGTGGATGTGATGCATGATTCCTCTCGGCGGTGTGGTTGTGTTGTGTATGCCTTCATGAGTAGTGGCAGAAGCATAGTGAGAAAACAGTCGCATTACGGCTCTATAGGAAATGATGGCCTTAAAGAAAATTGAATATTTTATTGCATTTTCCTGCAAGTATTATATCTCAAGTGAAAGCAAAATTTAAGGTGTATGTATGCATGTGTGTGGGTATGGGCTGGAAAAGAGAGAGAGAGGGAGAGAGAATTTGTTGATTTTAAAGCATCAAGAATTGAGAATTTTCTTTGCTTATTTCCATCCTTTCCATCCTTGTTTGCCCACCCTAATGTCAGTGTATGATAACCATGTGTCAAATTGGAAAGCATTCCTTCTCATAATGAAAGGCGTTAATTAAGCAATGGTGAATATTATCATCAGTGGCTCCATGGGGCCAACTTAGCTGATGTTTCATATATCATGTGCATGGCTCTTGGTGACGTGCTGATCTCTTATGATGTAAATAACTGTAATGGAAAATTCTGTGTGTTATCTTGTCCTTTGTCTGTTTTAAATGAAGTAACCTTATCTTTTCATCTTATTTTTGTAGCGTCAAATAGGAGCTTAGTGGTAGAGGAAAGGGCAGCGTTCAACTCAGACAAAGAATCCAAGCAAATCACACAAGAAACACACACTCTGGAGAAAGAGGCAACAGAAGCTGGCGAACATCCCCGATGCCAGGATGCTGGCCCAACGGAGGACAGAGGGGGTGCAGCGCTGGAGCAGAGGGCAGGGGTTCCTGAGCTTCCCTCTCGGGAGTGGGAGCCCACAGAGCAGCCAGCATTAGCGGGACAATTGGCAGAGGCAGGAGAGACCCCTGTGGACCGAGCAGGGGCAGATGAGGAAGAGAATGGAAGGCTGGCGAGAGAGGAGTTAGAGCCCACAGGAAGAGTGGCTGGAGAGGCAGCTTCTCCCGCCTGGAAGCAGGACTCAGCGAGGGCCGAGCTTTGGGGCAGCCCAGTGCAGAGCTCCCAGCACGCTCAGGGGGAGGTGACTCTGAGAGAAACAGCTACTCCAGTGGCGGGAGAGGCTGAGCAAGGGGCAGCCCTGAGCCCAGCTGGAGGTGAAAGGCCAGATGAGGGTGGAAGTACGGAGAAAGCACCCATGGAGCTGGAGGGCGAGAAGCTTGGGGAAGATGTGGAGTCCTTGGAGGAGGCAGGGGAGGAGGAGGCAGCACTTGGGTGGGAAGAGCCCGCCACAGTGGGCATGGAAGTTCTACAAGCAGAGACACTCTCAAGGTCCTCAACAGCGGAGGCCGAGGCTGAGACAAATCTCATGCGAGCCTCGAAGAGAACCCCTGAGGATCTTCCCAAGAAAGCTGCCACGAGGGAGAAGTTAGTGACAGAGACAGGACATAAGAGCAAGGACGACAGGGGAGAAATGTTACCTGAGCAATCGTATACAACTACAGAGAGCAGGAAACCTGGGAAGCCCACTACATCTCTGAGGGAAACGAGGTCTGAGAAAAAAGTGGTGAAGTGGGCAGATGTGCGGAGGGATGAAGATGCATTAGAGGAAGAGCAGAAACTTCAAGAGGAAGAGAGGAATACTGCAGAGGAAACAAGATCGGAGGAGCAGGCAAAAACACCCAGGAATGAAAAGGAATCTTGTGCTGTAGACCCCACAGAAACAACTGATTTGACTGATGGTGCAGAAGTTCTAGAAGATTCCACTGGAGAGAGAGTGGATAATTTGTTGGAAGTGACACCTGAACTTGAAAAGTCACCTGCAAAAGAAATAGGGCTGAGTAAAGATGAAGAAGGGCTGAGGGAAGCTGGAGAGACGGAGCATGATGGCTGGGCAGAGGGGCAAGGCTGGGAGGCCACAGCCCCTTCAGAGCAGGGAGAGGGGCCTGAGGATGGAGGAGGGTGGACATCGGAGGGTCCTAGCAGTGAGCCACTGGGTGAGGGAAAGGTCCCTGACCTGAGCATCCCAGACACAGCACAGGCTGAGGAGAGTGCAGCCCTGGATCATGGTAGCTTTGCCGTGCTGGCCAGGAGGGAGGAGGAAAGGCCTCTGCAGGGGCCAGGAGGAAGACAGACCATGGCAGCGACCCAGGAGGCTGTGCCTGAGAGAGATCCCAGGACGGTGAGGAAGTTCAGTGAAAAAGCAGAGGGTGAGGACCCTAAGGAGGAGGAGGAGGAGGAGGAGGAGGAGGATTAGTGCTTTGGAGAGACAGTTAAGTGGTATAGTGCCTTTGGATTCAATCCCTAGCACCATAGTAAACCAATAAATTCACATAAATAAAAACTTAAGTTTTTCCAAAGGGAAAATTAAGGAAATGAACAGATAAACCATAGTGGAGAAAAGTATTTGTAAGTTCATTATCTGAGAATAGTCTTGAATTCAGAATACACAAGGAATGTTAACATCCCAATTAAAAAAAAAAATAAACCACACGTAAGTTTTGAAAAGGTAAAACATTTAAACAGATATTTCACTGAGTAAAAATATAGATGGAATATGAGCACATTAAAAAGAGAGGTGATATCATTAGTCACTAGAGAAATGCAATTTCATGCTGCAGTGAAGCACCCCTGCCTGCCTGTGAGAGTGGCTAATAAGGCAAACACTGCAGCCAATGCTGACAGCGAGGAACCTGGAGCTCATAATTTCCCACTGGTAAGAAATGAACATAAAACTGAAAAGTAAAATGAACTTCTTAGGTATTGCTTAAAAATTAATTATTTATGTAATATATGACTCAGCCATTCCACTCTCACAAATTTCCTCAAAAGCAGGGAAGTCCCTCTAAAGATTTATTTTAAACCAGCATAGATGAAAGCAGACCAACCACCATCATGGGCCAGAGAACACTCTTCTGCCACAGAAGGAAATAGCCGACGATTCTTACTGGAGCACAGGTGTATCATTAAATAGTTGTTGAGTAGAAGAAGCCAGATGCTAAAATATTATAGTTTTTGTTTCATTTATATAAAATTCTAGAATATACAATCTAAGCAATAGTGAAAGCTAAATCTGTTGGCTGCTAAAGGGTGATGGGCTGGCCTAGGGGGTGAAGGGACAGGAAGGGAAGGACTCAAAAGTGATACAAGGACACTTTTAGGAGAGAGGAAGTCTTTAGCATCTTGCCTATAGTGATGCTTAGCAGATAAGTGTGTATTTACAATATAAAGGAGCAACCTTTTTATGAGAGTAGTAAAACCTGTACTTATTTTTTAAGAAAAGAGTAGCATCACATAATTCACATTTTTGAAGGACTGAGTGATTTCTTTGTAGCTGACTGTTCTGGAATCGAAATTACATCCATTTGTTTTTCTCATCTTAAGCTCATCACCACAAATTTCCAAAGAACTTTAAACATGCCCTGCTGTCACTTTACACTCTCACTAGCTCACTCTTCTATTTCCCTAGATAGCTCTTCTTCTCTCAGGCTCTGTCACCTCTTCTACTTCCTTGTGTTTGGCTAGCAGTCTTGGTTCTACTCCATAACAAAACTCACATCATTTATAACCCCCTTCTTTGTTTACTTTTGTCAGAGATGGGTATTTCATTGCCATTCATATATTATAGGTGCGTGAATTCAGCAAAGTAATCCAATATAGTCCATAGTGAAAAATATATGTATATATCTGTATATACAAATTATCACAGATATACAGCTTCTTTCTCTTAGTTCAATGAGAAGAAAATTTTGAACTAATAGTGTTTAGACAAGATATCTGTCTGTATCTTGTACTATGAATAACTACTACAAAGACAACAATATGTAACGTATTAATTATTGCAACTGTCCTACTAACCTGTTTTGAAACTGCCTCATTGCTACTTTGTTCTCAATAAA